CGGCGATTGACTTCCGATCCATGTAGCGTCGTTGCGTACTAAGATTCGGGCGTCGAATTATCGTGTTGAGCCTTGGGGAAGCCTTCAGTCTTGCAAAGCTGTGATTTCTTTCGTGCTCCTGTCCAGGAAGCTGTCATACGCGTCATGGTACCCTGCTGCAAACGAAAACCAAGCCTTCGGGGGAATGAATCATTGAAACCGGATAGGGACTCACTTGGCGTTTTGGCTAGCGCTCTAAACCGTGCGACGACGACCCTGTTATGCTGGATGGCAGCTAGCTGGGCGTGCTTTATAGTGCCTACAACACAACATGAAGGTGTTCTCCCACAGCGGCGTGGATTCAAAGCGCACATACCTGACACGCAAATAACGTTCGGGATGAACTTGCGCCCTTCGAAAGATGACAAGAGAGTAACGCCCGCCCACGCAATCTTATGCTGGTCTCTGCCCACTCGGATGATACACACGTTCGTCATGGGCGAGAAATATTTGACTAGCGTAGGCGTCCGAGCGTGCTTGGCTTGGCGGTGCGGAATAATACACGTACCTGTGAGGGAATACCCTACAGCGCCCCATCCCGTGTCCCCGAAATTGTGCACGATGCTCTGCTTGAGCGCTGCGTAGATGTCCTTCGTGGTGATAACTGCTTCTGAGGTCCGTCGGGTGGGTGCGCGAGTCGCGTCTTCTGGGGGGTTGCAGGGGATGAATTCGACGAGGATCCAGCGGTTCTGCAGTGTGCGTTGGTAGATAGTTGACCACCAAATATTTCCTTGACTCACTTTGAAGCGGACCATTGCGGGAAGGTTGTACTTTGGTTGTACTGCTGCCAAGTCCTGATATAATCGGTACCTTTCTATTTCTTTCCAACGTGTTCCCTCTCGTCCGGGGACTCGACTGGGACGTCTTACTTGTTCAATTCGATGCAATTCGGCGCGCCTAGGACAGCCATTACCTGCGCGTGCTGCGGTGTATAACCTCGTGCTGTAATCGCGCAGGGGAAGGAGGAAATCACCGCCGCGTCCACGTATAAACGTCAGACCGGCAGCGGCGAGGCCATACTCTGTGACATTCAAGCTTCATGGCCAGCCATCCCGAAGATGTCTGGTACTTGAATTGGGGTCACTTCAATGGGTGACGTCACCGCCACGCCCGCAGCTGAAGCATACGTTTCTTATTCTCTACGCACTACCGCCTCGCTCATTTGTCAACAAGTGTAGTGGACAGGACCGCATCACCGCGAAAGCAAACACGAATGCCTGCGCTAGCTGGCGGACGCCTGCGTCGGAATGCGACGCGAGTTCCAGTCGTGACGGACGCTGCGACGCGAGTTCCAGTCGTGACGGACGCTACGACTGGAGAACAAAGCCGACGTACGTACATTCCTTTAAAGCATATCTCTTCTTCTCCCCCCAGGTACGACCGGGCGCATCGCTAGTGGACCCAGCGCAGCCGCAGCAACCTGCACGGACACGTCGACCGAGGCCGGTATGAGCGTCCGCCGCGAGCCGCTGTCGCAAAAGTCCCCCGTGCACGAGAGCGAGGCGATACCGTACAACGAGAACAGACGCGCAGTCGCTCGGGCGCCACTCGAGACGACTGTAAAGTATAATGATTTCCAGGCCCGTTTATCATAAAGGTGATGTGTTGTATTCATCTTCTCTACCCTATGCTACTACGGCATAGCTCCCTCCCTCCCGCTTCCCATTGGAAGAGACCGCTGGCTTTGCGCGCTCGCTCGTCCTCTGTCGCGTTGCCTCCCCTGGACGACCCACAGCAGCCGCGAGTCCCGTGGTGCACGAGGATCGGCTGCTGTACTCTCCGCATGCCATCTTCCAGTCCACTTCCCCGCCGTCTCCAGCAGCATTCCGAGTACACCGAGGGACTCCCCTCCCGCTTTTCCGCTCAGCCACCACCCGCAGGAGTGCAATCCGTGCAGCATTTCGCCAGTCCTCCACCCGCTTGAGGCTCCGCACTCGGCGAGCGGGACAGCACTGCATGGCGCTGTCCAGGACGTGCAGACCGACGCGTGCGATGGAGGCCAGTGAGGGGCACACCACGAGGGCGAGTGCTCTCCCGCTTGCCGCCTGCTGTCACCGCCGTTCCCGCACGCTCCTTCGCCAGACGGGGGGACTCAACCCTGCCGGAGTCTACTCTAGAGGGAGCCGGGTACTAGACGCAGAGGGCTCTGCTCTTTCTGTACACTACTGTAGGCTAGTATATCAGCTGTATAGACACGACTTATTAGTAATCTGATACAAATCAGCTTTTGAAGAATAATCCTGTATCCTGTATGAATGTGAGCTTACAATGGCTCTTCTGTTTCGACTCGCGTACCTGCGTTGTCTCCCGCCGACATCAGTTCCAGTGGACGATAGACCTGGCGTTCTGATGTCTACACGAGAGACGTCAGATGCGTCGACTGGGAATAGGTTACACGGTGCCTACACGGGATCGTCAACGGCAATCCCGGCCAGACCTCTTTCTCGAGGTCAGACTCGAGGCTTGCGTAGTAAACTAGAACTGCTCTACCATGACGGGACCGTGAACGGCGGCATGGCTGACATCGGTTCTTCGGGTTGAGCTTGTAGCTGTCGCTACTGCATCAGGCTGCACTAGACGTTAACGACGCCTGTCAAGTGCACTAGTAGCCTTCCTGAAGTACGCGTTAGCGACTATCACCCGCTAATATAAGAGCGTGCTTACCGATTTGCCTGCTAAGGCTCTGATATGTATCCGATGGTAGTCGGGCGTCTACTAATAAGCGGATACATCGCGTCTATAGTCCTGCCATTTAGACCCGTCATGACGGGATCGTGAACGGCAGTTGCGAACTGACCGGCTACTTTAGAGCATTAGTAACGGGCTATTCGACTACAATCAAAGGCGAACCTGATCTGCTGCTATTGGGCTCTGTGTAGCGGCGACGAATTAGCTAGTAAACGGGCAGTCAATACAGGGAACGCGGTCTATATGAGAGACTACTTTTGTATGAACATCGTCTTCTATAGCAGGCCGGTGGAGGGGGGGGGGCGGAGACAGAGTCTGTAGTGAGAGAACGAGGCGTAAACAAATTGCCAGGGCCATATAATGAAAGCCACACATACCGCGTTCAAGATGAGCCATCCACTGGGCAAATGGAAATCTAGTGCGCTGGGACGCAACAGACTACGCATGTATAGCTATGCAAGATATAGTCGGGTAATGAAACCATGACAGAGGACGTACCAAGCCCTAGAGCCCACAGTCACGGCCTAGGACAAAAAAGAAACTGAGACCGTCAACTACGGTTAAACGGGAGGACAGACAAAGGACTGACAACAGAAAATGGGCAGTGGCGAGGGAGGAGAGGGCGAAGACGAAGGGGCAGTTGATAAATTCTAACGACAACACGAGATGCTTATATATCGTTCAGATGCACCCCAATCCGGTTTCTGGCGAAGATATCTGCTTGCTGAACGACCCTATCTTCCGAGAAGCGGCGCGCGCGGCTTCTCGCGCTGGAGCAGGAATCCGTGATCGGGAAAAAGCCGCGCCTTGTCGCGACGCGACCGTAACGTACGTACTCCCGCATATTGGACGCCGCTCTCGTTTCTGCGCCCGCTAGCGAATTTGCTCCGGGGAGAGGACGTAGACTGGTAGGGTTCAATGGCAGTCACGCAGCGTTGTCTGCTGCTCAGTATTTTTTCCACCTACCAGTTCCCTTGACCTGCTCTCTACTCGGCTCATGGCAAGCGTAGGTATTTAGCACTTTCGCGACTTACAAACCAAAGGAGTAAGGAGTTGAATACGGCGACAAGTTGGCAGAACCTACCGAGCATCCGTTAGTGACCGTTGCAGAGCCTGTTGCCTCAAAGTTACTCACCGCTCCGCGTATTTGTGGCCTATCACGTACATCCGAAGACATTGGCTCCGTGGTTGCGGGAGCTGCTGAAATTCAGCGAGCCCTGAACCCCACTCGGAAGGCTGGATCCGCAGGTAATAATTTCCATGACTCACCGAGAGTTTCATGCTACGGGGGCATCTTCCCAAGAGGGTTTTGCAGCGGCCTTCCACCTTGTGACGGCATTTGCGAGAGATATGGCGTGCCACCGGGTTGCCGTACAAAGCGTTTCAGCACGCATACTTGGTGTTCGCAAGTCAGGCTTACGTCTCATCTGCCGATTCGCAGTTCCGCGTGACAGTCGATTTGTCTGAAGGTGCCCGGCGCGATGTTGAAGTAATGTCCCTGTCATGTAGATATGCCCGGAGCACCTACAGCTTAGGGGACAGACGGATGTCTGTAGCAGGCAGGTATTACAAAATCACAGTCTGGAAGTAAACAGTCATGTTCGATGAGTGGATAGGATGCGCAAAGCGAAGTGCGTACCTCTCGCTTCTCAGACGCGTACGTGGTGTTCCATCGCGTACAGACAGACGCCACTGGCGCCTCCTTCGCTCATCAAACGCGTACCTGTGCCTTTAGCCACCCATGCAGATTCCGTTTGTGCGAGCATCTCGCACTTCGGCGTCCTCATTCATGTTCTGCCTCGCGCAGCGTAGCAGCCCTGCATTGTAGCGGGCCCGGAGTTTGCTCCAGGCATTTGTTTTGTAGATTAGATTATCTATGTGCATTTAGAGCTTGAATGTGATGTCACTCGATTGGATGAATGGTACTTTGTCCGCCCGCAGTATGTCTGAACGAAGGACAGTCCGCCGGGCGGACAGTGCACATCCATCGCACCGAGCTCCAACTACACTACCTCAATACATACACAGCTGTACGATGCACCTCTCACCGAAATGCAAAGCCGCGCAACACTCCTCATGATCCACCAACAATCCTACATGTCTCTCTTGCTCTTTGTGTGTACACCACACGCTCAAATCGCGCGGCCCGAGCGGTCTGGAATGGTTGGACAGTTGCTGCAGTACTGCTAGACAGAGCCGAGGTCACACGCGAGGCTGCGTTCGACTCGAATGAAGCGACGTATATTCGCCTGGATGTCGCGGTAGGACTGCAAACTCCGACATCAACAATCCAGATGTATCATGAGCAGTAGCTTATGAGTGGTAGGCGGACGGGGGACGAGGGAGACAAGGTAGGGAAGTACAGGCATTGCAAAGGGTCGAATATGTATTGTTGAGTGGAACCGTCCATAGGGCGTCAAGTCAATCATAGTCCCCGTATGTTCCGTAGCAGCATTGACAGATAAGCACGTCAATATTTACAGACAATCGCGTGAGTGGATCCATAGCTTGTGCGACACATCCAAGGTCTAGAGTGGCTGAAGCAAGAAAACGATGGGAGGTCTTATGGCGCGACCCTCACGCTGCCCGCTATCTTCATCTCAACGCTCATCGCGCGTACTGACCTTTGTTGTATCATAGTGCATTCACCTCTCACCCGCGGCGCATAAAACACGACTAGCGTAATCTCCCTGTTTTATTGAATCCTGTTTGCAATGCAATAATATTTCCCAGCTGGTGTTATCAGGTGGAGCTTGACATGGATTCGGAGTCTCACAAATTGTACAGACATTCGGACCGGTACCGCCTCACAAGACCTAGCTGGCCTTCTGATGAGAGGGTACAGGAATATAAATGAATCTTGTATAGGCAGCCTCCAAGTCAGTCTGTAAGTCATGCATTCAGTGCATAATATGATCCACTTCTCATTTTGCGAGCACTGAGGGCGGTCCGAATTCGACCATTGGACAAAGTCGGACAACTCCTATCTGCTCACAGCCGCTTAGACGCAGCACTCCGGAGTTGGAGCCTGGTACAGATCTCTCCCCCATCAATGTACTGTAGATCTATTCTGTAATGTTTACTCACTATGCCGTCAGAGCTTGCCCTGAGCTCGGAGAAGTTGATCCCTTCTCCGGGGTCTGGGTCAAGCTTCTTTTGGGCAACAGACAGCTTCGCCTGACCTCAGACTGCTTCAATGCCTCAGTGAATGGCTGTAATATTTACCACTGAGACCGTTCATAAGAGCATGCAACTTGAATATTCTGACAATCATGTTGAGGATTTTCCTGGACTTCCTTACAACTGCGAGTCTCCCATGGAAAAATAAATTACCTCAAGGCGCAAATTCACAGATCCACCTTTACAGCCGTTTGCAGATCGTTAGGCCATCACTTCAGAAAGTCACATATAGTCGGAGTTTGTCGGACATGGTGCCAGGGACGTCCCAGGAATTAAAAGGAGTCCAAATGGTCTGATGTTGGGGCCTTGGGGACTTGAATTCCCCTCTCCGACATGGTCCGACTGTAAATAATTTTCAAGAAATGGGCCCATCGAACGGCAAACGGCTGTATCAGGGCCAGCAGTCTCTGCCGAAATGTGTCCCTAAGAAGCCGCAACCGGGTAGCAATGCTACGTGGTAGTGGCTTCTCAGGGAAGCACTGCGGCGGCCAAATTGTGGCCCCGACTTCCGCAGTCCTGGGCATTAGTCACCGCTAAGCAACAATTCACGAGACGCACTGTATATACCGTCGCCTCTCTCGCAAGTCCTGCCTGGGCACGTCTATGCCTGCATTATGTCAGTCCACGCTCCTGTTCTCGCCAACAACGGATGTCCTCTCATGCTTGGCTACCTGAGTAAGCTTCTTCTATGTCAGTCTGCTGCAGTTTTCTGGCGTCCTCACATTATATTCTGCGGGCTATACAGCTTTGATGTCAAAGGACGGCTCTTGATGCATCTGCACTTAGCACACATTGTCGCCGGAAGACCTCCTGATCCTTGGTCTAAGCGTTCACTGATGGAATCAGGGACAGACAATGGAGGGTATGTCCATATCCAAAGCATACTGACCTATCGTCTCCATGGCGCTAATGCACCGATTTTGCAGGCAACAAGCGGGAGCGTTTGCGAGGGCTCTGAGCAGGGCAGCGAGAGATACGGGTGATTGCGATCGCCATTGGACGAGGGAGATAAGTGGCAGTGCATCCCACGTGGTTGAGATATTCAGTACGTTGCGTTCAGCATCTTTCGTCTGCCTGCGACGCTGACAAGCTTCCGTAGCCGACTGGTCAAGCATTGGTAGACAACAAAAATGTGAAATACATGGTTAGACACGCATTTGGACAAAGACTGACCTGTACTTCTGTTTGCGCTGACGGACTCAGAATAGCACGGTCACTGATTCCATTCTGCTTGTAGCTGATGCATTTACATCACGGAGAAATATTGGTCATAGAGACAACAGACACGTAAGGGGAAGGCAGGATGCGGGAGGGATGCGAGACGAGGGAGAGCCCAAGGAGAGCCGGACTTTAAGAAGGCCATGCACGAAGGACGAGAACATGCACCCGTATGTCCTCATTCCTTTCGAGGCATTTGCCCTTATGCTGTGCGTAGGAGCACTCATGGATGACCCCATAGCAATGTGAGCGCACCTTGCAAAGGTATGGCCTTTCAATCCGGTTCTGCCAAGATACCCTAGTCCTTTCCCCCAGCCGTGAGCCTTCCAGTGCAAAGGTTCACAAATCTCCCCCTCTCCCGTGCTGCTTGTCTAGAGACATTGCCTGAGTACGATCATGTGGATTCCTGGGTCCGGCGGTCCGTCTGCATCTCTGTGTTTGCGTCGATCTCCCGGTATTTGCTCAGAAGACAGTCGTGGGATGTAGGTATGTTTCTGTCTCACTACCAGCTGGTGATCACGCGCTGACTATGAATCAGTTATGTAGTGTGTAAATGAGAATGGAATACAATCTGTTATAAACTTTACATGCTCAGTATGATGCCTTGACTGATCGACATGGTAGTTGTTCGGTGCTCTGACGACTACTGTGACTCTGGACGCGATGTATCTTTGTTCCCGCCTTAGACGCTGTCTCAGCGTTTGCGTACCCTCCGTTTGCCGACATCATCAGCCTTCATCCGCCCATCCAGTCTATGCTGGATCTACTACGCTCATTCTGGCATCAGGAAGCCGAGCAAAAGACACTCAAGAAATCAATGTCCTGTCCGGACTTGCTTGCCCACGTCCTGTGTCTGCTTGCTTCTCCGAAAGCTGGACGATTCCACCTCCAGTGTACTGTCAGCGAGATCACGGCGTACCATCTCTGCGGTCATTCGTTGATATCTGGAGAAGATGTTCTAGGTATAGATCATGTTCCCGCGAGGTGCCTCGTCAATGCGGCATGCATGTCGTTTCCCATTCTTCCATCCCCCCGGTGTAAGTTCGCAGTACTCCCCTCTATCATCTGTAGCTGATCCAAACTGAACACCAGGGTTTGCATGCTACTCTTTCTACCCGAGCCAGTCGGTTGGCCTCATGTCTACAATACGGCAGCAAGTCCTCTATCTCTAGCATGGGCTTCCAGACAATCCTGTCTGTCTCAAGGTTGCTCTTCGGCGAACACGGGATATATGAACATCCCACGACTGACCTAGTTCTGCCCCGGCGTCTCCGGCGTCATTGACCTTGCTATATGTTGTCGCGCTCGACGAGCATCCCGCGAGCGATATCTTGGTGCTCCCGTCTGCGCCATCCCCGCTCACTGCATCAGTTACTATTGCTTGCGCAATCTCACTGACGATGCCTGCGTGTTGAACACGTTTACGGGCAAAGTTCCGCAGGACCCATTCTTCTTGGTACTTTCGTGAGTTCCTTCCACTTTGTGAAGTGATTTTAACTGATGCAGAGCTCTGTGTTCAAAGCCAGGATGCCTTGACGTCACATGAGCGGTGTCGGTGTTACTAGCGTACAAACGTATGCTTTGGGACCTTGGGTTTCTGCTGTCACCGACAAACAACACCATGATTGGACTGTACCTATGTCTGGCAATGACGAAGATAGCGGTGTACGCACCTCGCGCACGCGCCCCACAATGCCTCGACCCTCTCCCTCTGACACGTCTACACTCCCTCAACAAATACGCGACGAATCGACTTCCCGCTCACGGGGACGTTATGCGGGGCAATTCCTCGATACTTCGACCCCTTCGCCAGACCATTGACACCTCCGGTCAACAAAAATGGGATGAATTGACGTCCGGTGAGTAGCGTCCTCACGCCGTCTCTGCCGCCTGTTTGCTGACTCGTGCTCATCTTCTTCCCCCTCTTCTCTCCCTCACAATCATCTCCCGCGTTGACTCTATCGCTGGACAGCAAATACAGGACGTACCTGCTCCCATGAGCGACGTGCACGCCCGCCCTCTCATCGCCGTCCGGCAAGCGATGATTCATTGCAGCTACGGCAATGACTGCGGCACCGCTTCGACTGACCACCTCCGATCCTTCACTCACGATTGAAGATGGGACGTACCTTCATCTGGCGAGTGGCATCCTGCCGCTCTCGTTCACCCCAGGGCTCTCTCGACGCCTTCACCGCCTCCCTCGACAACCTCTCAAGTCCCGGTTGACAGTGACGGGACGGATCCTGGCCCTCCCGCTCCCTGTCCATGAAATGTCTCCCTCGGCACTCGATGTCCTTGGTAGATGAAGGACGTCCCATGAGCGGGCTCGTTGTGATGTTTCTGTCTCTTTCTCACGGGGCTCGGCGGCTCTGACTGACAGGTGTCCTGGACGTAGCCACTTGCGATGTTGGGTGCTCCCTCTCGCTCTGCGTACCCCTCTTAGCATGTCCTGCTGTTGCCGCCGCCTCTCGTCGGCCTCTAGAGTCCCGGTCGACAAAGATGGGACCGTTCTCCGTCACGCGAGCGAGCCACTCGCGCTCGCGGTCTTCCTCCATATCCACTGAACTTTCGAAGCGTAATCGACAAAGACTGGACAGATCGCCTCCCCGCGGGCGGTGCCGTCATCCTGCCTGTGCCTGTTGAGGAGACTCGCGCTGCGGACGTATTGGTGCCCTACAAACTGCTGCATCGCCCGCTCTCTGCTAGCTTCGACTTCCCCGCTCTCTCGACTGCGCCCATCACGCCCTGTGCTCCGTCTTGCCGATAGTGGGGCCCGGGCCGACAAACTCACAACGAATCTTCGCCCCGCGAGCGGGGTGAGATTGTCTACCAGCGTGTTCTCGGCGCACCGCTGGTGACGTCCTTGCTGCCTGGACCCCCCCCTGAAGCCCCCGCTTGACCAAGACGGTATGGAACTTGGCCCCGCGAGCGGGCTGAGATCGTCCGTCTTTGCGGCGCATGCCCTTGCTGCCTGGACGCCCTTTATGCTCCGCCCAGGTCGCCGCTCGACAGAGTCGGTATGGATCTTCGCTCCCCGAGCGGGGCCCTCGCGCTGTCCAACTCTCCGGCACTGTTGACATCCCCATGCCGTGTCCACCACTTCATACCCCCGACAATCAGAGTCGACGAAGATGGGACGGATCTTAGCCCCGCGAGCGGGGTGAGATCGTCTGTCTTCTCGACGAACCACTCTCGACGGACTCAGTGTCTTGACATCGCAGAGTTCCCGCTCGACAAGACGGTATGGATCTTCGCCCCGCGAGGGGGTGAGATCGTCCGTCTTCTCTGGACGCACTGCTAACAGCGTCCTCGCTGTCTCGCTGCCTGCACGTTCCGCCCATGTCCCCGGTCAAAGAAGATGGGACGAATCTTCGCCCCACGAGCGTGGTCCTTGCGACGCCAGCGCCGCCGCCATCGCCGCTGTGTCTGCATTCAGCACCCCATACCCGCGACAGTCAAAGCCCGCGATCGACGAAGATGGAACAAATTACCGTCCGACGAAGCGGTGTTGGCTTGCTTTGGGGGTCGACAAGGATGGGACAGAACGGCGTCCCGCGAGTAGGGTCGCCGCGCCGCTGTCTCCATCCCTGCTGAGAGCTCCGAACGCCGCAGCGAGGAAGATGGGAGTGGTCCGCGGGAGAGGGGGTGGGGGCGAGGTGTAGTAGCGCTTATTTTGCAATGTATGGAGGGATACACACCTGATTCGAGCGGTGGAACATGCCTACCCCATGCTCTCAGTTCCGTCGAGTTCCCTTCGAATTTCTCAGCGCTGAAGCTTCGGATTGGGTGTCCAAACTTCATTCCGAAGATGGGGGTAATACAGGACTATTCGGATGTCATAGTAGACCCAATAAACCGGTTCAAGACGGATAGAACACTTTCCTGGTCTCCACAGCACTCACATATAGTATACAAAACTCTTCTCTCTGCTTGGGTGTTGAGGGCCGGGTCAAGGAGACTTGCAGCTCTTTTACTATTTGGTCCAGCGCCTACACCCGGCTATCAGTCTCCAAACAATGAATACGGGGTCTGCGGGGGGAAGACGTGCCTGGAGAGCTTGACTTTCGACCCACTTTTCACGGCCTGGCTCCCTACCACCACCATCTGCTCGCGGGTCTATCGGCACGTCTCTCTCAGCGACGAGACGCGGTCATACCGCGCAAGAGACAGCCCGCACGAAAGGAGGGGGACAGCGGAAGACGGTCGAGGACGGCGCAGACGACGAGGACGAGAGGCGACGCGTCGGCGGGGGAATCTCGGAGAAAGACGCGTCGCGGTCGACGACGACGCCGCCACCGCCGCCACGTGCTTCGCGATCCCACTCAGGGAGGAAAAACCAGCCAAGTCGACTACCTTTCTCTCAGCATTCACCCTCCCCTGCGAGCGCGCTTCCTCGACAAGCTCCAGAATGCACCCCAAATCCTTGGGTCAGGCGGCTCGCGCCTGCTCGTGAACGGGCAGGCACACACTGCCCTCGAAAGCCGCCTGGAGCGGTTCTTCAACGCGCCCAGTGCGCTCCTGTTCAACTCAGGCTTCGACGCGAACGTCGGGTTCTTCTCGACCATCCCTCAGCGCGGCGATGTCGTAATAACAGACGAGGCCATCCACGCGTCGGTGCACGACGGGATCCGTGCCTCACGCGTCGGGAAAAGCGGGCATCGTACATTCTCTCACAACGATCTACCATCTCTAGAGACTCTGCTACAACAACTCCTGGCGGACAACCTGACTCTCAAGGATGGGCGGAATAGCGTGTTCGTCGCGGTGGAGAGCCTATACAGCATGGACGGCACATTCGCGCCTCTACCAGATATCGTAAGGTTATTGGAGAGCTTGTTCCCAGCGCGGAACGCGTACCTCGTTGTAGACGAGGCGCACGCGACGGGTATCTATGGACCGCAAGGGCGCGGGCTGGTCGCGCACTACGGACTCGAGGACAGGGTCCTCGCCAGGCTGCACACGTTCGGGAAGGCGTTGGCGGGCACGGGCGGTGCGTCGTCTTAAGCAGCTCTAGATCTTCAAGCACGCTCAGGCCCCGCGCAGCT